TAATCACAACAATCTTATAAGAAAATTTAGTCATCTGATGAAACTAATTTTTTGTCTTTTACAGCAAACAAATTCAACAAAAAATAATAATAATTTTTTTTAAAAAAGTTTACAAAAATAACATTCCATATATTAGGTAGAATAAAATCATTTAAACTAAAAACAGATGATTAATCATATGATGATATATTTGTTACCTTGGCGGCCGTTCTCTTAATACACATTTGCGTTTAATGAGATATACAAACTTAGACGATATTTAACACACAATTACTTATTCCCATATTTTCCTCACATTTCATACTATACTATGACTTTCTCGCCTACAATAGCACATTATATGATTTTCCCTTCATAACATTACAAGAAATATCAATCCAAAAACTACAACAACACATATATTTATCAACATCTCCGCGCTTGCGCGGAGCTACGCACATAATATTTATAATGATTGGGTATTAGATCTAAAGAAACCAAATATTATAGGACATAAAGAATAGTCACAAATATTTTTTTATTACTATTTCAACCAGTTATTTAAATACATAAGTTGGTAACAAAATATAGACTATTATGCAAGTTGAATCAAAAAAGTTCAACCCATGAAAGTTTATATACTAGATTATCATTTCCTTTTAAACAAAAAAAAAAGATTGATTTTCTCAAGTTCAAATGACTATCTTTTCTTAAATGTATAATTATGATGGTCACACAAATTTTATGTCTTTGTTATAAAATTATATTTTGATCTATTCATGCATACAATTTGGTTCACATTGCATAGTCATTGGAAACTTGATAACAAAATTAAGATGGATTATTATTTTTAAATAGTTAAACAATAAATAAGAACTTCAGTTAAATATTTATATGGTTTTTGACATAAGTTCATAATAAAAATATATCTACTAAAATGATTTTTTTGTTTGTTATTAAAAGTGATGCTATGTGACAAGAAGTGTTTTAAAAACCGGAACAAGCTGGTTGGATCATGATTCTCTCTCTTTTAAACAATTTTGAGTTGTGCTAAAAACTAACAAATTCGGTTTAAAAACCGGTTACTCGCTAAAATCGATGGTCCAATTTGATATTAAACCCTGATGTTTTTTTCAAATTCAAGTTAAAACTGTAAATTTTTAAAAAACTTTCATAAAAACATGTATTGTTTTAAATATTTCTTTAAATATATTATTTTTATTATATTTTATGTTATTATTGCAGTTTTCATTTTATTTCCATATCATTTTACCTTCAAACAATGATAAAAAGTCTTATAAATATAATTTTATAGTTATAAGTATATATAAATACTTAACTTAAAATTAAATTAAATTTATAACCCAGTTAGACCGGTGTGACCATTGACATAACTGCAATGTCAAGTTAATATTCGGTTTGGTATTCAATAAATTAATATCTTCAAGTCTATCAATAAATAGAATAAATAAATATTACTCATAACAACAAAATATATAGAATCTTAAATTTATAAGATATCATTTTAAACTTACAGAAAAGTGAATTCATTTTATATACTTATTTTCAGATTTTGATAGTGGTTATTTTCTACCAACATTTTGAAGATAGAAAACGACATATTAAAATATTACAGTAATTATTGTGTAAGTTATTTATACCAAAAATAAAATGAAGGTTCTGTTTAAAAAAAACTAGAAAATCTATATTTTGTAAAAAAAATGGTCATTATTAGTATTAATTATGAAACTCTTACTTGCATTAACTACAATGATTTTGTCAATCGTTATTTTTTCTATTTAATTTAATACTCTATTTCTTCTATTTTTAGTTATAAGTTTAATTATATAGTATATTATATATACAAACAAATATAATTAAAAATTTTGTTTTAAAAACTTGCCGCGCGTAGCGCGGCCAATAGATCTAGTAATATTAAAGATCGATGCAGGAACACATCAATGCACTTTAAATTAGCTTCACAAAATTGTGATAAAGTGTAGTGTTTTGATGAGAAGCCATGAAAGTTGTGAACCAACATAAATCTAGATCAGAAAACGCAGAATTATATCTCTGGTAGAAAAACATATTTTTTTTATTTGACCACAAAAACGAAATGATTATTCTTGGAATGAATAAAATTAAATAGAATTCTATCTTATTTAATTAAATGACTAATAAAATATTTTTAAAAATAATTCATATTTTCCTTAATTTCCAGTGAAAATATTTTATAATGAATAAAGTTGTATTTTCTATTTGATTTTACAACGACATTAGCTGATATTTTCAATAATAATAAATCTTTTCTAATAATTGTACTGTGTTACCTCATTCTAGTAAATGATAATATAATTTATATCATATCAAATAATATGATAAATATAGTGATAACTATTTTTGATAATTTATATTTCATGATTTCATAAATTTTCAATTTAATAAAGAGCCCATTATAATATTCAATTATTTCTCAAACTTTTAACATATATTAGGATTTTACAAAGCTTTATTTTTTTTTAATGTTAAAAGAAAAAAGTTTTCCTTTTCATACGAAATGGTTATATGATTATTTGGTAAAAAGAAAACTAATTGATTATGATTTCTATGTCCTTTTCTTATCTTCTGTATTAAAAGAGAAGTACCATTTATATCTACTACACAAAAGTCCTCTTGGACCATTTCATTACTATGACATATTTGATTATTTATATTAATCAATCAAATATATATACTGGATAAATATTTTATTAATTAATAAGATATTAGTAATAAATCAATTTGACTATAAATTTATATTTTAATTTCATTCAAAACAAAATCTGTTGAGAAAATATCTAACAAGATCTTACCAAGAAATTTAAATATTTTTATAAAATATATATTATTTAATTTCGTGATTAATATATATATATATATATATTAATGTTAATTAAAAAGAAAAATTGGTAAATTTTATAATTTAATGATATTCTTCGTTAGGTTAAAATAAAAATGCTATGTGAAATGAATATAAATATAAATTAAATTGGTAAAGAAAAATATTTTATTTTAATTTTTTTTATTCATTGTTAAAACATTTTATTCTTTTTAAAAGCATGTAATATTTTTATACAAAAAATGTTAACATATATTTTTGTAACTCACAACAATTATATTATCTAAAAATATATATATATATATATGATATATTTTCGCGAAATTACAACGATATATTATATAAAAATATTTAAAATAATAAGAATATATAGTTAAACAATATATAAGAATAAAATGTAAATCATAGATTTGCAAGATTTTGTTATATTTTTATAAAATGAAAAAATTACCCGCAGAGATATGCGGATTCAAAATCTAGTTATTTTTAATTGACAAACCATAGAGTGTGCCATGTATGGGGCAAGAGATGGATTATATTGAGTACCCATTTAATTAACATTCTAATTTTGTTAAACACGATTTCTTCTTTAAATCTTAATTCCTCTGTTTCGTTATAAATATCATTTTAGATTTATATAAAAAGATTAAAAATTTAGTTTTATATATTTTTAAATGAAAATATAATTATATATACATTTAACCTCGTTTTAATTGAAAATAAATTATAGAAAATAGTTAATAAATTTTTTATTGAAAACCAAAAATGATTTGTTCTGCAACGAAAATTTTTTTTTGTTATAGTGATACATAATATAAAATGGAAGGAATAATAAATTCTCAAATTTTTAGTTGTTGGTGATAGCCTCAAAAATTCTAATTGATGATGTAAAACATGTGAAACCTAGCATTTAAACAAGGGCTTATTTGCCAAATAACCAAAAAAAAAAAAAAAATTAATTTTCTAGTGAGAGAGTAGAGAGAGACAGGGAGAGAAATGAAGAGAGAAGGGGAGATTTTAGTTAGTTACTTAATTTAGGTTTTTTTCATGGTTATTTCACCTAATTTCCCTTTAAACAAGTGATGGCTAGTTGAAAAAAAAATAAAAATAAAGAAGTAATGGCTAAAACGTATCATGCTAAATCAAGAGTTATTTTTTTGCGTTGAAAACATGAGTCTGTTGAGGTGTCACCCTTAATTCTCATGTGGCCAAATTAAATCACTATAAATTAACTAACAACATATCATTGAATTATTTTCACTCTCACCTATTATACCTAGTGTCGTATTGAGGGCGCTAACGGTAGTACCGTTTAATATTGTGAACATTCATATATCAAGCATTTAACACACACTAGGGGGTTTGCCCGCCCTACGGGCGGGTGAGTTTACAATAACACTAATTTATATTAAAATATATTTAAATTTTAGAAACTATTTGGAAAACTATTTTAAAATGAACATAATACAATTATTTTTTTTTCTAAAATCATACTGTGAATTTTGTTAAAATTTGTTGGTTTGGGTTCACTAACTCTTTTTTAAAATAGAACCCAAAATTTAAATAAAACTAATTTTTTTATTTATTTATTTTGTATTTTTGTCTAGGTTTGTATCGGTGACATCTTATTGTTGTTCTTATGCTCTAAAATATTATAATTTTGTTTAAAAAAAATATTTTTTCAGTTGTATGGATCAACAATATCCGGTTTAAAATATAGTTTTTTCAGATATTCGGAAATCAGATATTAGGATGGCTGTGAATTTTTGAAAAAAAAAAAAGAGATGACTGTGAATCGAAGACTAAAAAAAAAATTAAACTGAGTAAGAATATACGTATTGTATCTAAAAAAAAATTATCAAAAAAAAAGAATATACGTAAACCACGCACATCCATAAACAAATTTGGCACATCCATAAACAAATGTGTGTGAAACAGCCGTTTAAATAGAAGGCGCAAGTGTCATTGGGGTGATCACTGTTGTATCTCGTGTTACTGTGGTATCTTGCATTAACCTCTTTTTCAACTAAGTTTCGTAACCTCGTGTTACTATTGTATCTTGCACTAAAAGGGTAGAATCAGTGAAGTCACTTGCTTTGACGACTATGGTCATAAGAAAAGAGTCGAGTTTCTCTATCTCTTGCTCGTGTGCCCTTTATCTGTGTCATAGGCACAATCCTAAACAACTGCATTCCTCTTTACTTTACCAAAATAGTTATTAGCGAAGAGGAAGATAAGTTACAACAAACCGAGGACAAAACGATTCAAATAACAAAGGAAACACTAAACAATTAATTCAAACTTAATATAAGATAAATCCTCTGCAGCATCAGTTGTGTGGCATTGGACTTGGCCACTCTCTAAAACCTTGGAAGTAAGAAGTGCGTGACTTCTTTCTGGTGTGGCCTTCCTCCTCAACACTTCTGGTCTTCTATTAAATAAAGATTAACTATATAAATGTATGAGAATGTTTATACCCGAACTCAAGTTCCAGTTCCAACACACCTTTCTTTATCTACCCATCAGTGATTATGAGAAGAACATGGTATTGGGTCCACTTTCTTCCACAATCGTCATGGCTCTTTCGATGATGGGTGCAAAAAAATATCGGACCTGTTATAAAACCAGTAAAAATAAAATAAATAGTAGAGAAAGTGCAAGAACACAGACAATAGAAAACGGTTTGTTAGTATAAGTCAAACTGCAAGGCGTAGCTGGGGGAGTCTGAAACAGATGAGAACTTCTTTAAACCCGTTACAAAATATGTATTAGTGAAATTTAAACTAAAGGCATCTTAATCATCTGTTGTATCTGCAAAGTCAAAACCAAAGAAACTAACCACTTTGTAAGCACATACCAAGTAACAAACTTTTAAATGATCAAAGATCAGATCAAGTCTTTCCAATGATAGAAATAGCTTGCTAATAAGGGTTTGGAGTTGTTCCATGCAGGTTCTTCCTATCAAATGGTTTTGCCCCTAAATTAAATCACCAGTCAGCTTTCAGATCAGAGCAGCATTTACTTAAAATCTGAACTTAAGGATTGGTTATACATAAAGATCATAACATGTCTAGCATGTCGACTTGTTGCTCTTGGGTGACATCAATACCAACAATCAGACTTGAGGACTCCAAACCACCATGTGAAAGAGCAGAAGTAACTTGCCAAGGAAAAGAAAATCAAACAAAACACCAATAGACATTAACTCACACAAACTAAGAAAAATAAGTTTGTGTGATTCAAACCTCATAGATGGAGCGTTAGTTATCAACAATCCGTGAATAGTTGCTCTCAAGATTCTTCTGAGTTTACCATAGAGGATTAAATAGGAGGGTGCAGGACTTGCAGATTGATTACTTGGTGTGTGATAGGAGCTGTTCTGGTCTACATATTTTCCCCTAAGAAAAAGGATGTGTCCTAATGGGAAACAACTTCTTCCATACCCCCACACCTCATCGTGTATTCTTCCAAGCCCCCTTTTAAAACGAAGACATTTACACGGTTAATGAAAACGTACTTTCTCAAGATGTGACTGCAAGACAACACAATTTTTTTTCCCAGAAGTTAGAAACAGTTACATTAACTATCAATGCAGGTAGTCAAACCAATATCAAAACACAAAAAGAATAGACTTGTTAGACACTACTGACCTCTCCTATCTCAGCTTTTCCTTCTTGTTTATCCTTTTTTCTCCCCCACCATTTGATTCAACATTGTATCGTATTGTGGGTCTCGTCCTTCTAAAACATTATCATAGTTTGTTTTTTTTTTTCTGCGCTTCTTATCCTAATATGAATACATGCCCAAGATTCATGATTGAATCATATTTCATAAAAAAAAAGTGAAAACTTTCGATCACACAAAAGCTGAGATAAATAAATTTAAGTTTTTTTTTTTACCAGAAACACCATTAACCGCTGCGGTGGACAGTGATTTGGCGGCGGTGAGCTCTTCCTTTGAAAGCAATATCCGATCGGCGGTGATCTTTGATGGAAATCTCTCAACTTTTTTGATTTTCCCAACGGCTCGACGCAGTTGCAGACCCATTGAAAGACCAACTCTGCTGAGGATAGTGGAAGCAACTACTGTTGCTTTCTTCATATTAGGTTTCAAGGAGGAGTAAGTTAGGTATTTTGAAACCTTGGTAGATAGGACACAAATAAACAACGTGATACTAATATTTAGTAGAGATGAAGGTGATCGAAAAAGAAGCCAAAGGAGAACCTTGATGAAGGTTTTGGCGATGATTTGCATGTGCGCTTGCTTATAAATCGAGAGGAAGTGGTGATTCTAATGACCGGATCCGAAATATTGGATCGAGCTCTTGCGCTAATCGACGCTGCAGTCACCGTTCCGGCATAATCTTCGGTGAGACTGTTTTTTTTTTTTTTGACAAATCTCATCCTTCTAGTAAAGTGTACGGCCCAACTCGAAGAAACAAAAAACTGAAGCCCACTCGCACTTGCTGAGTTGGACGAAAAGACAAATCTTATTGGACGAATATAAATTCCGACGTGGCTTAAGGAGGGGAAGTATATTCTCCTTTTAATATAGTATAGATTACTGGTTTAAATTTGTTATAAATGATAAAGCCAGTCTAAGGTTTGTTGTCATATTGCTTTTAGAGATCGGTGGATTCTGACATTAGATTATCGTGTTCTACTGACATTAAGTCTACTATTGATTCTGTAACAAAAAGTCTATTATTAAGTATTCAGATATCGGTTTGGATACATATCAGTTCTTCTGGGTATCAGAATTTTTAAGTTTTGAAATTATGAAATATTTAGGTATTATAAATTTGGGATCAAATTTGAACCGGATCTTCCTGAATCCATGTTGGTTTGGTTCTGGTGTATAAGAATCTATAAATAACCGAATAACTAATGTATCTGAAATGAATTTAGATATGTGTAGCCAAACTAACCAATTATATTATATGATTCAGTTCAGGTGATTATATCTATACTACCCAGATATATCCAAAAATAACTAAAATGCTCATTAGATATAATTTTATTGAGGTATTTTATCTCCAAATAATCCTATGTTATCTAGAAATACTTAAAAGTATCAAAAATAACTACTAGACATAATTTATAATTTCAACATAAATTATTAAAATATTAAGAAATAGTTTTCACTAATTTTTAATATATATTTAGATTTCAGATATCTTCGGATACTCATTCGGTTCTCGACTTAAAATCGATTTTTTAGATATAACAATTTATGACCTATTTGGTTTTTTACTCTGAGTCCAACCGGGTTCGGGATCCTAATTTTTAGATTGATTCAGATCTTTTCTTTGGGTCCAGATTTTTGTCTCAACCCTAATTGAGCCTATTTCAGTAAAGTATATTGCTGACATTAACTCCATTAGAACTAATACTTTTCTTAGCATTACTTTTTCTTCTCTTTTTATTCCATAATGTTAAAATAAAGAGAGAAAAGAGTGAAAGGAAAAAAGAAAAAGTAAAAGTTGAATTAAACTAAGTTGTGTTTCCTTTATTTATGTAGAGCTTCATTTGTAATTTTAGAGCAAACTAGAGAGAAAATATTAAAAGAGGAAAAAATAAAATGATTGTATAGAGTAGATTTTTATTTTTATTAGTCAGAGTAAAACGTTTATTTCATTTTTTGGACAAAGAGTAAAAGTTTACTTATTTCATCCATTTTTACTTCAAATAAAAAATAAAGTTAAACTATGAATAAAACAAGTTACGCTCATTGTTTTCTCTCTAAAATATCAAACTAATATGCTCACTACAAAAAAAAGGTTGTTTAACATCATTTATTTTAAGTATTTGCATTATTTATAAATGATGTAAAACAAATTTGCATCATTTAATTAAATGACTCTGAAAGTGGTGATACAAATAACTTACATCATTTTACTAATAAGTGATGTAAAAATTGAAAATATTTGCATTAGTTATAGGAAGTGATGTTAATACAAATCAATTGGAAAAATGATATTAACACTTGCAGTAATCATTTTTAAATGATATTAATATTGGCATCGGTTGAAATAACTGATTTCAATTATTTATATAATTTATTAATAACTGAAATAAAATTAATATATTTTTAATAATTTTAGTAATTATATAATATTATATTATCATTAAAAATATTTTTACTCCAATAATTTACGTTAATAATTTAATAGAAACAGTTTATATTAATAATTTTTTTACCATTTACAAATATGAAGAAAAAAAGATATACATAAAAGCTCCAGTAAAAAATAGATAGAAGAAAAAAAAATTGATAAAAGAAAGAAGAAAAAAGATGAACTGAAAGAACAAAATGATTGTTCAATAACTAAAAATCTGTAGAAGAGTTCTTCGACCAGGATTGTTTTCCTTTCATTTCTTCTCATATATTTTCGTCTCTCCTAAATTTCCGAGTGATTTTGGTCAGCCAATATCCCAGAGGATACATTTACACATGTACATACCCAGATTAGTTTCCTTCTTGAACAGTTGAACGCCTCCTGCTTTTAGACATAAATTGAAAGAGATTAGACACTGTAAATTTTCCACCAAAAAAACAGAATAAGAGAAAATAATACATTTACAGAATTTTTTTTCTTTCAAATGATGCCTAAGAAGAAACAACATCATGATATAAACTTTCATCCTCGGGTTTACAATTGTTTGTTGAAAATTCTCTTTGTTTTTTTATAAAAATAACTCAGAATCATTAAACTGTTAGAAGAAAGCTGGAGCACTAAAGAAGGAGACGAACAGTTAAGTAAGGATCTAGATATGGCAGAGATAATATGCTTTATGGAGAAAATTTGCTAACAACAAACTAATTTCCTTTAATTAAAGCACAAGCAAATAAATTAAAACTAAAAAATCTTAACTACATCTCGTAGTCTTTGTTTCCTTTTGTTGAAATTTAAGCTAATTTTGATATCTTTTATAATAGAACTAATATTTTAAAGGATGAAAATTAAAATGACATAATATCATTTTATTAAACTGATGTTAAAAATATAGTTACATAATATTTTTTTTAGCATCATTTTTTTATTGATGTGAGATTTGTACCAATTTTATAATTGATTTTAACTAAAAAAATGAATGCATCAATTGTATAATTGATATAAATGTAAAAAAATATATCAATTCTGCTAAAGTGATACAAATTAATAAAAATTATATCATTTTATTGACTTGATGTAAAAAAAAACAATAAACAACATCACTTGCTATAATTGATATTAAAGCTTTGTGTATTTGTCTCATTTAGAGATAAATGATCTAAAATAAAATCACTTAGTTTTGTGATGCAATTTAAGTGATTTAACTTACTTCCTTTTTTGGAGTGGCTATTGAAAATATATTACTTTTTTCAAAATTTAAACTATAGTTATATTCCTACGCAAACTATAAATTTATTAGATTCTATATGATCAATTTTGTTATGTAGTTTTTTTATGATTTGAGAATTATTTTTAAAAATATACACTGAATGATATATCTAAAATTGTTTTTAGCTTTTTTTTTTATTATTTCAAAGGCAAAAAGTATGCTACTTGTTACAACCTTATGTATATTCTATATATTTATTTGTCATTTTCTTATATTTTCAGTTTACAAAAAATTAGGGTAAATTTCTAAAATAAAATCCATATAAAGTTTATCATAAAAATAATATCATAAAAGGAAAAATTTCGAAAATAGCATTTCTTAAATGATAAAATACTTAAATAAATCCAAATTGTTTCCTTAACCCCAGTTCCTAAATACTACACCGAAACCCTAATCAACAAATCCTAAACCCAAATATTGTGTATAAATATTTTAATTTTTTTAATAAATGTTATTGTGAGAATTTTTTATTCTTTTGTATGTTATTTTGAATAAAATTTTGTTTTAGTGTTATTTGAAAGTATTTCTCCAAAAAACAGTTTCGGTAAGCTATAGTTAACTGCTTTTGTATTCTTGATATGAAAAGTGAAATCAAAAGACCTACGCCGAATGAACCAGCAGTAATATTACATCCAATTTCTCACACAAACGAACCCTTTTGAATATTAAATGTGTCAATGGGAAACACAGACACACAAGTCAGAAAACATCTTCTTCTTTTGACTCTTTTGTTAGGCAGCAAAAGCCCCCTACATTTATTGTTAGGTGCTGGGTTCAAGTTCCTTTGTGCTCTAACAGTTTTATACTGGAATCAGCTAAAAATTCAGGACCAGTCTAAACCATACTAATCAAACCAAATCTTAACTATATACGCTCAACGAAGATGATCAGATATTTTGTAACGAAATAAATAAATGATTGGTCCTTATCCTTCACACTATAGAACCTTGATCTTAAGAACACACAAAGCAATTACTCGAAAATAAGAAACTCTTCTTATAAAGCTCTTAAAGAAAACTATTTAAAAAAGCATAAACTCTCAATCTCTCACAACTCATAAATTATGCTACAACTTAGCATCCCCTTATATAAAAATCTAAAACTCCGAAATTCATTAGGTATAACACAAAAGATATATTTTCCCTTTTTCCTAGTCCTATTAGTAAACCATAACTTGGTTAGATTAGGTAACTTACTTCGCAAACTATTAAATTTAGTTCAACATTCTCCTTTTTAAACTTGATCTCAACTCCATCCATGTTTTGATCTCCCATGAAGCTTCTCATCTCTTTGAACTTGATTCTACCTAGCGATTTGGTTAAGATGTCGGCCTTTTGCTCACTTCTCAGAACATGATCAACTTCCACTTGTTCATTCTCAACGCACTCTCGTATAAAATGGAATCTCCTATGTATATGTTTATTGCATCTGTGATACACCGGGTTCTTAGTAAATTCTCAACGCACTCTCGTATAAAATGGAACCTCCTATGTATATGTTTATTGCATCTGTGATACACCGGGTTCTTAGTAAGTGCAATTGCCGATCTATTGTCAACCCATATGGTTAATTTTTGCAGTCTTCTCCGATGATCTCACTTAGAAGTTCCTGAAGCCAAATCGCTTGCTTAGCCGCCTTTGTGTCTGCCATGAACTCAGCTGC